ACTTCCTAAATGCCCACCCTCACCCCCCCCCATATTGGGGAAGGCCCCCCTACACCACCACCCATAGCCCTAGTACCTCTACTCTCACCTTGCACAGGATCAATAAGCCTCGGAACTTGCATCCCTCTCTTCTCTGTGGCAGGCACACCCTGAAATACATGAACCTTGGCGAGGACAGATGAACCCATAGTAGGGCACTGCATCACTCCGAGGAATCTCACATCTGCAAACAACCCATGCCACAAATTAACCGTACGATGATATAGTCCTAAAAGACAAACTACCACCGGGAATGATAGACAGAGCTGACAGACATAAAAACAGGGATACCGAAGCCGACCGCACGGTGGACACCCATACGGTAGCAGAACAGCCCCACAGGGCTCATACTGGGGTAAACCGCAGCAAACATATACACCCATCCCCACATACTAGAGTTAAGCATCACAGAGGAGTGACAGAGACCGGTTCAGACCACTTTATCTGACCCCAGCTCGGGTCATCCTTACATATGCAATAGGCATCTGGGTAATTGCCATCGCAGAGAGAGGGATGGATGGAAATGAACCATTGTATAACTGTGCAATACCTTTCTGAACCCCCCAGCAACTTAATTTTTGTCTCCCATACCCCACATTATATGTACCACACTAAACTGAGTAAAATGAAACACAAATAAGGAAGGTAAAAAGACAAACCATCACAACTAGATGGTAAATCCAACACAATGAACCGATACGTTAGCCAAGTTCTTACATCACCGTTAGATTGTTCTTGTTCTTTTTCTTTTACTTATGTCTATCTGTGTATAATTCTGACAAAACCAATGACAGCCAGATCCCAAATGCAATTGATGCATATGAAATGATACGAACACCGCATATACCTCCTTTTGATAACATTTGACCTGTATTGTAACCACAGTGCGGCTTCTGCGTAAGCCATATGACTGCATAGTGCAATACTTTTTTCACTGTCATTGAAAAATAAAGAATTATAAAAAAAAAAAAAATAAAGTTTAAAAAAATGAATAAGTAAATAATGGAGTCAGCTAAAACTTGCAGTCTCTCTCGGACACCCACTGCTTCCCTATCTGCATTCCAACAGCAAATTATTGGAGATATATACAAACACACTGTGTGTACTTTGTAATGTACTAATGTCTTGCTTTTCCGGTTTGGAATAGTACACATTTATTTCAATGACTAGCAGAAATTGCAGAAATGAGCTTACTTAACTGCAATCTGGCACTCCACAGGTTAACTAGGAAGTTCCAATTCTAAAATGCATAGACCATACATCCACCCAACTTCCCCCCTTGTAAGGCACTGCTGGATGTATTTAATCTTTGTGACACACCACTTACAGATTGCTTGAAGTGCTGAAACTGGAATTATTTTGTACCAGAAACTGCTAACTTGTGCATACTGAATTTCCTGTGCCATGCATCACTATATGGCATTTGGTTCACCTTGATTTGAAACACCAAGGCAATCATTTTATTATCGTCAAGTACCAAGTGGAAATGTTCAGCACTCTTGGTATAGACAAAGTTTAGCGTGCTCAGGACCAGTTAATAGAAGGAAAAACGTGGTTTAAGAATCTAAAAACAAAATGGATAAACTAATCCAGGTAGAGAGAACAGACATGGAATAAAAGAAAAAAAAAAAAAACACACACACACACAAAAAACCCCCCCAAAAAACAACCTTATTTTCAGTACAAATAACCACACATTACATCATTAGCCTTAAATTGTGGTTATTTCAGGAAGGCCATGCATTGCCACACAGAAGCAAACCTTGCAACAGTCCTGCTTTGACAATTCTAACTTCGCCTCTGGGGACACAAACCAACTGTCCCATGGCAGCATGAGCTCTCGCTGCATGGTCTTAAAGACATGGGGTCAGCCATTACTGGCCTCCTAAGCACACCATGTTCGGCAGGATAATCTGTTGGCAGGACAGATTTTCCAATTTGGGGACACCAGGGTACTGTTCGCAACAAGCATAGCTTAACACACTATGTTCAGGGCAAGGGCTATCATGAAGTATGCAGATACCTTACATTTTAGAATGTTGCCGCCTTTCCTGCACATTTTTGCCAAGAAAGATATTGCTACACTTTAAAGGACCACTCTAGGCACCCAGACCACTTCAGCTTAATTAAGTGGTCTGGGTGCCAGGTCAAGCTAGGATTAACCCATTCTTTTATAAACATAGTAGTTTCAGAGAAACTGCTATGTTTATGAATGGGTTAAGCCTTCCCCCAAAGCCTCTAGTGGCTGTCGCATTCAGCTGACGGGGAGGAACGGAGGAGGATAGCTCCCCGCCCAGCGCTGGAAAAAGGTAAGTTTTTACCCCTTCCAGAGCCCAGCGGGAGGGGGTCCCTGAGGGTCCTTTAATTCTGAGTTACTCCGCAGACATAATATCCCCTCATAAATTATGTTCTGATGAGGTCTATGCCAAGATGATCTCAGGGGTCTTACTCATAGCACCACTCTCTTAGAACTGAACTGTATCTTAGGAGCCATTTTGTCCCTGCAAGACTAGTGCTCACCTTTTCCAGTCAGCTCTGTTCTGGTGAAACTGTGGTATCATTGGCTTCTACAACCATATTTGGTGGAGCTACCCAAAGTTCTTTCCACTGTGGCGAACAGTTTTTGCTTTTATTTCTGTAGTCCTTTAGTCCACCTCCCTCCCCGCCATAGTACTGCCTTTTTGTATGTATTTCCACCAGTTTGACTGGAACTGTGATGCTTTTGTGATGTCATGTCTTTTAGGTGACCAAAGAAATCTTGACACGGCACTGGAGATCGCACACCACCCCCCCCCCACTAGCTAATGTGCTCTCTAAACAAGATATAATATATGGGAAAGTTGGCTACTACAGTTGAGGCAGCTATTGTATCCTATGACATGAAATAGAGGCTATGGGTATCGTCTTGCTTTGATCCCTCCGACATTACTTATTTCTTAACTTGTAACAGTTCTGGGATATAAGTGTAACACGTTGGAAGGACACCTGTAGATGACATGCTTTTAGTTTTATCTTTGTAATTTTATTGGCCTGCATACAGGTAGGCTGATGCATTCCATTTTTTGGTATTAATACGTTCTATGTTAATGTATGCTGTGTAGACCATTTGTACTTGTGCTTTAGTACTCTTTTGTATTTTATTAGTAAAATTCCAATACACTTTCCTTGGAAAAGAAGAGCCAGTATGTCAAGGGCAGTCTTTTCAATAGTCAAACTTTGTGGTTATATAAATCCACTTTCAGTTTAGCAAGCTAACTTTGCTTTTATCAGTATCTAATTTAGGAACTAACCTCAGTCAACATCCAGTTGTTTTATTGCTCTATACAAAGTTGGAGGTGTGATATCATGAGCATGAGTCCCAGAGATTGATCAGTATTAATATACAGAGCCTACAAAGACAGAACAGAAGGGAACTCTTCAAGCTAGAGACAGCTGCTGTTCATGCTCTTTTTAGAGCTAACAGACTTTGGTTTTAGGATTATGAATAGATAAATGATGAGCATATCCCTTTAAATGGCTCCCTTTGTGACAAATGCATTCAGTGAAAGTTGTTAATAGTATAAGCTTCCATCTGGGAAAAAGACCAATGGCCCCACTCATCTGCTAACAACACACAATATCGTGTGAGCGGATTAACCGGAATCCCCATGCAGCACCGTCTTCTGTTACCAGTAATAAGGAAACCAAAAAGCCAGATGAACAATATTCTTAGCAAGTATTTATGCAAAACAGCTTTACGGCTTTAAAAGATAACTCTGAAACCCATGAAATTTCACATTAAAACGATTTAGGGTATATAAATCTGTTGATCTATACAATGTATTGGCCTGATAAGAGACCTCATTTTTTTTTTAACCCCCTTAGTGACCAGACTGTTTTTTTTAAATGTTCTTACTGTTAAGGACCAGGGCTGTTTTTACAATTCTGCGGTGTTTGTGTTTAGCTGTGATTTTCCTCTTACTTTTTTACTGTACCGTTTGTCTCGCCGTTAAATGGTCTTTCTAAAGATACCATTATTTTTATCATATCATAATTTACTATAACAAAATGTCTCTGAATCAAACCTTTCATGTACATCATTTATTAAAGTAGACAACCCTGGTTTCAATATATATTTTTTTTTTTAGCAGTCACTTAGTCACAAACACTGGCCAAAGTTAGCATTTATATTTGTTTGTATGTTAAAAATGCAAAAAACAATTATGAACGCAAACTTTGGCCAGTCTTTGTGACTAAGTGGCTACTAAAAAAAGACTGCACATACCCCATTTGCAATACCTTGGGTTGTCTTCTTTTTTTTTTTAAATCAAGCCTTTTATTTGACCCTGTAACTTTCAAACACTATAAAACCTGTACATACAGTTATACTTGGGAGCCTTTGCTGAACACATATTAGAGTTTCAAAACAGTAAAACGTATCACCACAATATGATCAGTGAAAGTGCCATTTGTGTGTAAAAAATTCAAAAAACTTCACTTTCACTGACAATATCATCTCTGCGATATGTTTTACTGTTTTGAAACACTAATATTTGTGTTGAGCAAAGTCTGCCAAATAAAACAGTACCCCCCATGTACAGGTTTTAGGGTTAAGTATAGTGCCAGCAAATTAAAATCTCTGGACTTTCTGACTGGGTTGTCAGGCAGGTCTCCCAAATTGCAATCAATAAAATTACTTACTTGTGTAAAAATATTACATAAATATGCACATAGAATTTAAATCCAGTGGTACCTCGGTTTACAAACGACTGTTAACATAATTTTCTGTTTACAAATGAAAATCCATTGAAAATAATGCCTAGGTTTACAAATTTTTTTCGCAATACAAAGAAAATTTCCCCAAGATGCATTGCACCTGGATTCATTGGTTTTCAATGCATTCCTATGGGAAACTGCGTTTCGGTTTACAAATTTTTTGCAATACGAAACGTCCCGGAGAACGCATTAAATTCGCAAACCAAGGTGTGTGTGTGTGTGTGTGTATATATATATATATATATATATATATATACACACACACACACACACACACATTTATTTGAAGTCTACGTATATATTTATAAACATTTACCGTATATACTAGAGTATAAGCCGACCTGAATATAAGCTGAGGCACCTAATTTTACCACAAAAAACAGGGAAAACGTATTGACTCGAGTATAAGCCTGGGGTGGGAAATGCAACAGCTACTGGTAAATACATACATGGATACAGAGAGAGACACATACATACCTTTCCAGTGCTGTAATGACCTGTGTTGACGATATGCTCCCCGCTCTGCAACTAGTGCATTTTAAGTGTTGATGACTTTTTACAGGATTATGACCCTTGGCCTGCAGCTGGTGCCCGGGTTATGGCACAGTGACTAGTCAGTGCCTGTACTCTGGGGAGTGGTACCCGTTATGCACACTGTCAGTAGCCGGCAGCCAGGCACTGGATACACCCACCGGCCGCGGTTTCTGGCTGTGCAGCAGGTTCTCCCAATCGGTAAACAAGCATCCCCGGCCTTTCCTGCACAGAGCTGCCAAAGTCAGGGCGCCCTGCCTGTAAGCTGTCCGCATCCCCAGCGTGCAGCATGGTTCAAGTGGAGTACATAGCCAGCCCCAGCAGCGCTGGCACCTACCATGGTACAGATAGAAGAGATTCTGGAGTTCCAACCACCCGATCTCACCGCCCTCACTCGAGTATAAGCCGAGGGGGGCTTTTAGAACATAAAAAATGTGCCGAAAAAGTTGGTTTGTACTAGAGTATATACGGTATGTAATTATGTATATGGACATTTGTACATTTCATATTTTTATTTACATATATGTGTGTTTTTTTTATATATATATATATATATATATATATATATATATATATATATATATATATAATCAAAATACAGTTAAAATAAAATTATATTTATATTTTTTTTATTATTACTTAATTGTATTTGTGTGTATATATATATATATATATATATATATATATATATATATATACACATACACACATATACATACATATATATATATATACATATACACACATATATATACACATATATTTACTTAATTTTTCTTTATTTTAAAACAAATTTTTAAACTTTTTTTTTTACCAGCAGGGGGACTGCGTCAGTTCAGGCAGTCCCCCTGCAGGCAACACTATGGATGCCTAAGGTGGCCATGTGACCGCTCTTACAGAGCGATCACATGGCCCTTGGGGTCCTATTTTCCTGAGAGGGACTGTCTGGGCTGTCAGACAGACCCCCAGACTGAGAAAAAGACCCCCGCCGGCGATCGGGTGAGTAATTTAGATATATATATATATATATATATATATATATATATATATATATATATATATATATATATATATATATATATATATATATATATATATATATATATTTTTTTTTTTTTTTATTTTTTTTTTTATTTTAGGAAATCAGCAGACAAGCTGTACATCGGAAGCCTGCCTGATGGTTTCCAATGCTCTGCCTCACTGCCGGAAGCCACGAGGGGCAAGCCGGAAGTGATCACTCCAGGGGATCGATCAACCAGCGGCCCGGCAGTCAGGGGAGGTATTGCAGGATGACTCGACATCGAGGCATCACTGCAATACCATTAGAGCGTCTGGAAGCAATCACAATCACTTCCAGCACTCAAATTTGTCGCGGACGTTAGGTACATCCGAGGTCATTAATGATATTTTTCTTTGTCGGACGTACCAGGTATGTCCGCGGTCACCAAGGGGTTAAAGTGATCACTTCTGCTTATGTGTGACGTACAATTTCCATTAAGTTAGATATTTTTTTTTCTCCAAGAACAAAAAGAGCTTCAATTTTAAATGTGTGTGTGTATATACACACACTATAATGCTAATTCTGGAATCAGCTGACAGAGAGGAGCCCAAGGAATCAAATGATACCGGTTTCACGTTAGCAGCAGGGAAATGGACCCTGTTGGTAAAATATTGCATGATGGAAATTTCATGTGTCTTTAATGGGTTAAATCTGGTACTGTTAGTCTTAAGAAAACTATACTCTATATTAGCAGATTAAAATTATTTGTGTGTACATAAAACAGACTCATTTGAATTCTGCAAGCTTTGAAGATGTTTAGTGGGTGAGTGCACTGTATTCTGTATATTGTATCAATTGGTAGCCTGCAGGTTGCCATGCATGCACAATAGCCTTACAATGTTTTCCTATAGGAAAGCATTGGATTGGCTGAGATCCTCAACAATGATAATAGCCATGAAGGTGGAACCAGGTGCGGCCAGCTAATCGTGGGAGAAGAGGTGAGTAAAATTATCTTTTTACTGCGATTTGAGGGGAGGCGGTCACGTAAACATCCCATTTAGGGCTAAAGTGTCAGGAGTACATGTTCCTCTAACCTTGCACTGCGGAGGGCCCCAAGAGGAAGGATAACCTAAGTAAGTGCAGGCATTAGGTTGCTTGAATAGGAACTGCCAAAAATGGGGTACATTTGCATTGTGGCAGGCTTATGCAATGTATGATCATATACTGTACCTATGTATTCTTTTTTATTTTACCATAACATTCTGTGAGGTTTGAAGCTAGTGTATAGGCACCCATTACCACTTCAGCTCATTGAAGTGGTCTTGGTGCAGTGTCCCACTCCCCACTTTCCTCTAAAACGGCAATGCTACCCAACCTACCCAGCCCCCTCTATTTCAGCTACACCCTTTTCCAGGCACAATATAGACATACAATCCAATTATCCATTTCATTTTCATTTCCACCTTGTGGGTTAGATCATTCATCATGTTTCATGATAATGATCCGAAAGCACACTGAAAGGAATTTCTGGAGGTAACAAATCACCTTCCATATTAGCATAGCTTACAAGATCATGTCAACAGCCACTATGAATAAATAAGAGGTAATTTAATTTTCAATGTGCATGAGGGTTTGACATGTGCTTGCTTAATTTAACCACTGCCAAGAAACTCTAAATACTGGGTCGCTGAATTCCTGCAGAGTTTGGTGACATTTAGTTTTTTCTACAATATTAGACAGTAATGGAGCTCAGATAGGTGTGCAAATGTTTGAGATACATAGGCACATCTTTCATCATTTCCCTTTATTGCTCCTTACAACGAGCCATCCATCACACAGATGCCGACAGCTTGGAGAGATGATTCAAGACCCTCACTTTACTGATCCCTGAACCCTGCCTCATCCATCTCTTGCATTATTCCTGATCTGTTGCTATATTTCATCTCCATGCCTATAAACACTGGATGAACTCTAGCCTTAATGCCTGTAACTCTTTATATCACAAGTTGTAAAACTATTTGTCATTAAAGAAATACTATAGTGTATCCTAAAACTACAGTGATCTTCTGTTTTTGCTGCCACACACACCTGAAGCACAGAAAGGGTTAAAAACTTTTTTTTTCTCCCCCACTTACCGGATACCAGCGCCGAGGTCCCTTAGCACTGGATCGGTCTCTTCCTCCTCCGATGTCGAGAACCAGGAACCTAATGAACATGTGCAGAGAGCCCCATAGGAAAGCACTGACTAATTGCTAGACCCTGGATGTGCACAGCGTGGGGATATCCAGTATCATTTCACAGAGTTAAACTCCATGAAACTGCAATATTTGACTAGTAGCTGTCTGGTAGGCAGCCACTCAAGGCAGTCTTTACCCTGCAATGTTATCATTGTAGTTTCTCAAAAACTGTCAGACTGTTTTATCAGAGGTGCCCAGTGGCTTGCCCTGTGTGGCATTGGGTGTTGGGTGTCTAGCTTTCACAGCCTCGTGTCTGCAGCTCTGCTGGGTACTGAGCTGCAGACCATGGAGTGATGGTCAGAAAGCGCTGCCAATCAGAGCGAGACCTTCTCCACTGGCAGTAAGCAGCCTGCTTGTACACTATGAAACACCCAAGAGAATGCAAGGATTACAATTAATTTTGATTTAGTTGAAGTTTAAATCAGAATGATCAAAATACCCCAATGGCAGAAGAGGAATTTGATACAAATTCAAATTTACTGTAATATATGACTCAACCAACACCCTGCTTTTTCTGTCACTATGAAGAATAAAAAGCTTCCTTAATGACAGCAGACAACAAAACAAATCATATCTGAAGAGGGTGCTCTAGAAGCATGAAATACGTTTTAGAGTCAGACACTCCACACTCCATAACAAGCCATGCTAGTTAATAGTACAATCATCACATAGCTATTCATTTTATTCTCTTCATCATTACTACAGCAACTAGCCGAATCATAGCAACAACATGCCTAGTCAACAACATCCGAGCTGTTAAAGGGTTATATTCTATCTCAGTACCATCTATTCTTTATAACATACATCTATGGGAAATGCTAGGGTTATTTCCTCCCAACAATATATGTTCGAAAGGTTATGTAAAGTGTGAGCTTGCTATGAACAGATGAACAAAATGCACAGTGCGTTTTGTAGGCTGGCAACAGCAATTACCATCACCATAGCAAAGTTTCTAAATTGGAGATACAGTAGAAAGTCAGAAAAAAATACTTTCGCATGGGTAAATATCTTAAATGAGCCATTATTAAGGATCTTTTAATTTAAAAAAATAGTATTAGAAAAGCCAAGTTAGTTGGGGGTGGAGCCAACTGAGGAACAGAGTGGACGCATCTCTCTGAGCTCCGAGCCCTAACTTATTGAAACTGAGTACAATTTAGCATTTTAAGCCAAAGACCGACCCTGTACTACACACACAACGCAAGGGCGGACAATGGGCAGAAAAACCAGAAAGCCCCGAGCCAACAAGTGCCCGATCAGCAAAGATATAGGGGAACTACTAAGGAACTCACAGGAAGCCGCATGGGCCAAGATGGCGCCGAGGACGAGATATCGTGTTCCTCTGATGAGGCCTCCATAGATCTCGAGGAGGGAGCCTCCTATGACCCACCGCAGAAGAGAGCAGTCAAGCCCCTGCAAACCAGAGAACCGGTGACAGCAGACCTGCTCAAATCCATGTTTGCGGATCTGCGAAAGGACCTGGCTGCAGACAGGGCCCACTACAAGACCGCCA